TATTGCAATATTGAATATGGACGATATAGTGGATATATCTGATGTTGAAGAATTTCAATATGACCAAGTAGACCCTGAATTCGAACAAGTAAATATATGAATATTTAAAATAGTAAATGCAATCTTGTTTCATAAATTTGAAATTATCAGGAATCAGAAGCAGAGTCATTAGTAGAAGAACTGATAGACAATGAAGAATTGATCACGATGAAGAAGAAATTCCAAAAACTGCATGTTTTATATCCTGATTTCGTATAAAAACTATTATCTATTCTAGCATACCTGTGGAATACCCAGCTATATCACCAAAAGGTATTGCAATAGTATTTCATATTGCAGATTGGGTTGATCCAAACTACGCATAGAAAAATGTAAGTATATAAATATATTTTTTTTAATTTTTAAAAATTAATATATTTTTAATTTATTTATATATTTAGATTCAATATTCTATGGGCGGTGGTGGAATCCATATAATTAAAAAGTCACCATATTTTGGAAATGTTCAAGTGAATAAAGAAGAGCGTGATTGTTTAGGAATTAAAGTTTGTCAATTTACTGATCATTTACAAGCATTGAACATAATGAGATCGATATTGAATCATCATTGTGGAAAAGAATTACTGAAAATCAAAACGTCAATTCTAAAAAAACTTACACCTACGTGTAAATATATATATTTTTTTATATTTTAATAATAAATATATACTAATGCTAAAATTGTTTTTTCAAATTTAGTACATATTTGGCTGCTAAAGATACTTCTTGTAAATTCAAATATGATAATAGAAGTACTTGTTCTGGAAAACCAATTTTATGTAAATTACGCATTTCTCAGGATATACAAAATGTATATCAATGGTTTATTGGCTGCTCAATATATCGTATTGGAGATCAATGGCATCGTTATATCAAAATCAATAGTGAAAATGTTGATATTGTACTTCTTCGTGATTTATTTCTTGAAAAAGAAGTGGTATTTGTTAATATAAATTATCTATTTATATATTTTATATAAATCATTAATATATGTATATAATAATATTAATTAATATAATTTATTATGTTTTATAGATACAAGAAGAATTACCTTATTGTACAACTCTATTGCATCGATCATCCAAAAGAAAAAAATGTGGTATACATATAATAATTTATTTTTTTTTAAAATATATTATTTATTTAACTTATATAATATATAATTTAGATTATATTCATCGGTTGTCTAATAGAAATATTGACTATGGAGAGATTATTCAAAAGCATTGCCCAGTAAAATTTTATAAATTTACACTACAGAATCTTGAAGTTTGTCTGTTTATTGCGATAGTATGTGTTGGTACACATAACCATCCACCTCCGCCTCCAGAAAAAATACCTGTAGATATTAAATTAAGCCTTCAATCTTTAATTTCTCAAGCGATTGAAGACAATGATATAATTACTCCACGATCTATTCAATCAAGTAAATTTTTGTTATACTAAATTTAAATATATCGTATATCAAATATTTAATTTATTTTAAGTATTGATTGGTCTATATTAAAATAAGGGTTAATTATAAAGATATAATCTAGACCAATTAATTCTGATCAATTACTGTATAACACTACTTATAAGTAATACTATATAGTAATATTAACTATCTAAGTCAAGTCAATTTTAAGACACAGCATATACGTATTGTATTAATTTTTTAGGCAACTTAATAAAAGTCTATTTTAAATCTGAAACACTTTCTGAGTTCACCAGTCACTAAATAGCATAGATAAATTGCGCATTTTAGTTGCCAAAGCATATAAAAATATGCATCCTTATGGACAAGGTATTCTAGGTGTTTTTCATGCGGCAAAGAATAGTCATTCTGAAATAAAAGACTATTTACATCGTATAGGTAAATTAAATAATATAGTGCAAAAATTTGGCAGCATGTATATATTATAACCTTTGAGTTGTTTGATATTCTGGATTAAACCAAAAAGGTTTTATAAAACTGGATAATTAACCTATGTAGCTAAAAATTTAGCAATTTGCTAAAATTTAGAGCTAGTATAGACTAAAGCTAGACTAGTATTTGACAATAATACTAGTTATCTATATTATTACTTAGTATGTAAGTGGGCTACTATTTTGATCTAGATTTTAGTTAATTTGCTAAATTTGGTTTTATGATTAATCTACATATTCTAATAGCGTCACCAAATTTTTGCACTATATATATTTTAGTAAATTCATATTTTATATCTTATTTTAACTATTAAATTTTTTTATTATAGAATGGATTGATTCTGGTCTTATTTTAATTATCTGTATGCTAAAACAGCAAGCCGAATTGTTAATTAATTTAAAAAGTTTTCAAATCGATTTGGCTTTTAAACGTATTAAGGGTGATATAAATGAATTCGAAATTAATACATACGATGCCAAAATAAATTAAGTAAGTATTTTTATTTTATGATTTATAAATATTATTGTATATACTAATAAAATAATAGTTTTAAGTTATTGCAGAATATACACGAATGTATCATCGGCTGAGGGATACAAAAAACTATTTTGTATCTTATTTGAAACAATTCAGAAACTCACTAATGAAAATATATACATTTATCATATTCATCAAAAAGGTTGGGAATATATAATAGGAGATTTGGATTCTGTGCAAGCGAAAGGTTTAGGGCTTGCATTGTATAATATAGATCCATCACGAGATTGGGAAATGTATTTAATGCATATATTTAAATCTTGTACCGTTCATTTTAAACAGTAATTAGTCTCAAAATAACCATCTTAGTCGTATTGAATTTTATTATCAATTCAATGATTATATTAAGATTAGGCTGTATTTTAATAATATAACTAATTATATATTTATTTATAATTAGAAATTTGTTTAACAAACAGTTTTCACAAGAAATTCATGATTTAGCTAAGTCGATCCTTAATGCACCTTCACAAGAATTAGTCAAATCAATTTTAGATAAAATCGAATTATCAGATGAGCCAGGTGCTAAAGGTAAATATGATAAAATTAAATTTTTTAAAAAATTAATAATTATGCTAATTTTTTAAAAAAATAATTAGAATGGGCCAATTATTATAAAACACCTTGGATAATTTCTTCATTGAAGAATGTACATATGTCTAAAATGGAGCGTAATATTTGGAAAAAACATGATGACAATACCAATTCTGCAGAATCGGCTCATGCATTAGCAAATAAGGAAGGAAAACAATTAAAACTTTTATCAGCTATTCTACGGTAATATTATTAACTATATAAAATTATTTATAACGAAATTA